ACGTTGGGTCCTCATATACCCAAGTAACAGTTAGTCTGATTCGAATTAAAGCATATTTCGCGCATTGAGTAGAGGGTTCACTAAAACTGACTAGATGATGAGGATTAGCGAAACCAGACATGAGGTCATTAAGGTTTGATTCTTGTGCAACATATTCTTCAGACCTCTTCAAAATTCTATCACTGGATAATGGGTCACTAAAACAACCAGCATCTTTGAAATTCATATTAGATTTCTGACCATTATTTGATGCACGGGAAACATTTTCTGGTACGAGAGGTTCTTCTTGTAAGCTGGACACCTCACATGTTTCAGGCACAGTGGGATTTGAACCCACAACAGGGAATGTTCCGGAATTTGACATTTCTGGACAACTGGGTGGATCATGAATAACTGTCTCGTTTACATCACTGGTCGTCCGGGATTCACAGAGGCTTTTATAAACAGCTTCATATGTTCTGCAGTTGTTTTCCAGCTCAGTCTGCAGATGAGAAATGAACTTGCCAACTTCTGTTGCATCTCGGAAACATGGAAGATTTACCAACATTGTGCGTAAATTTTCTAAAAAATTTAACTGGCTATTTTTGAAGCACTGCTGCTGTTGCTCAAGTAGAGGCTGTAATCGATCGGAAAAGGTAGTCATTTTTTTCAGCACTTGCAATGAAAATTAACTGTAGGAATAATAACCAATGTTGCTCAAGGACGCTGGTGACAATCTGGATGCTGATTGGTCGAAACAATTAGCCTGAATCTCGTCCAATTGCAAGGTTCAAAATTTTTCTCCACCCCGTCGCCAATTGTTATGAATTTAAGTTGTGGGTCGATTTTTACCCTGTGCTAATTGTTGTGTCCTTGACTGGAAAATTAGAGAGCAGCGTACTTATCGATCGATTCAATGACACGTAAACACGTACGGACGGCCTAGGGTCTCGATTGGCCTCACTTCCCTGTCTAGCCCAGTTAGTTGAGTCCAGAACACAAGTCACAACCTCTGAGATATGAATCACTATATTTCAAACATACTTTGTTTATATACCAATCAAGCATACCACATCGTACCATAAAATAGAAAACAACATTTTGTACAATATTTAACAAGTGAACAGATATCGACCAATAGGAAATGTCCATTCAAAGTCCAAGGACACCATTGAACTTAACATGATAATTATTGGTCTATTCCTCCGCATCCACAACACAGTCTTTAAATGAAAACGATGAAGGGAGAACACAGTGTAATCATATATGTGTGGCCAAGTTAATCAATCTCTTAATTCTTCCAGTATTTGGCTTCCTTGACCCTCCAATTTCTACTCAACTTTGGATGTTCACTGAGTTGTCCTTTAACACATCCAAATTAAAGGATTATTTGGCCGTGGTTCAATGTTATTTCGTGTAGATCTATGTAGCTCTTACGTTTTCCCTGATGGGGCACGTACATTTCACTTGATCAACAAACTGGTGTTGTGTGATCTACGTTGAGGAAATCTATGGTATTTCGAATTATTTGAATTATAGTAGGAACTAAGAATCCCAGAAATAACGTAATCAGATCAAGAAGTATTAGATAGGCACAAACAAATGTACTATTTTTAGGATTCGAAATCAAGCATTCAACAATTAAAAAGGAATCATTAGTTCATTCAAACACCACAAGATCAGCGTTGAAAATCAGAAAGAACTTGGATTTTATGAAGACAATCTAAAAAGGATTCAATAATAGCTTCTTGGGTTTAATGACCAAAAGGATTAAGAAAAATGGTCTTAAATAGTAACTTTTCATACAGGTAAGACTACCGCAGTCATCTGTAGTATCCTACCGGGAATGATCGGATGAAAGATAAGGGTACTTACTAAAACAATAGACTTTTTTAAGTGTGCAAAAGTGCTCTAATTTCGATCAAATCAGTATGTATGTTATCTCAAGTGACCCATAGTTGGGATGGGCTAATTTGGCAATTGTATAATTGTTTTCTTGATGTACAGAGAAATTTATGTATGCGAAGCCATAGGCTCAGTTATGCATTTATGATTCCCCTGAAGAAACGACCCCATCACTTCTGTCAACAACATATGTAATATGATTTAATTAATTAACCTTCTTGCTCTTTTAGACAGTCGTATTCTCTTAGCTATTACGCATTTGGTTTTTTCCTTTAATTATTGTTTTATAATGAGATCAACCTGCTTCCTGCCTGGTTAGGTGATAACTGGTGATTCCAGAAACGTTGTTGCTCCAAGATAAAAGCACAAATTCAGTTTGCAAGGTATAGATTCTTACTGTTAGATATCGAAAGCAACCAGAACTATCGAATTAGAATCTTTAGGCTGCCGCCACTGGAAATTTCCAGAGACCCGAAACTGCAGTGAAACACATATAACAACATTTTGACGTAATTCAGACTAAAAGCCTGCGAAAATCTTTTTGTTCATTGATCGCCAAATTAACAGAACCACATTTTATTCATCTTAGGCCTCTAAAAACTCATATTTTCTATTACTGGGCCTCCAGTGGACGTTCAAATATGACCACAGCCTATGGCATTCAACCTGATGACTTGCGAATCACCATGGTAATCTCTGCCGTCTAAAAAGTATTTGGTAGTACCCTATAAATCAATACCTTGCAGATGTAAGATGGGTAGTCTAGTCACTGAGAGCAGAATTGGCTTTTAAATATTCTGCTTTTATAATCTGAGACGGGTTTGCTTGTCGGTCTTTGATTGAACCTCGAGTGGCGCCAATGTGGAAATGCTGAGATACACGAAGGTTTTGCCTTTGAGTGTTGGTAAGCTTACTTGACACTTGGCATATTCGTGCCATCATTGAACTCTCATGGTTTTTGGTCTAGGTTTTGTAACTATGACAAAATTTAGGATAATAATTATAACTAGTGTCTGTTTTAAGTTTTAATTTTTCACCGATAAGTGCTGGGCATTAACGTCTAATTAGTGTGAAGCAATCATGCTTTTTCTGTATATCTGAAAGATTAGGAGTACTCCCTACAAATACCAGTGTTGTTGTATGCTATAGAGAAGCTCTGATCTTTGGGACATGGTCTCGGGAAAAACGTTCTCTGGTTTGTTGTGTGTGATTTAAATACAAAGCAATAAACACAATCTATATAACTCACCATAGTGACGTATAGAAACCTGTAGTTAGTAGATTGTGGGCTTGTTTGCTTGTTTTTTGAACCTTACTTCATTTCGAAGGTTAGCGATACTAAACAAACTGCCCTAGTCAAAGTAGGGATAGAAGGATTCGAACATGTAACCTCAATTTTAGGGATACATTTGGTATTGTTCTTATACTGCATGACTAAGGTAACAATAATAAATTTCTAGCAACATAGTCTAATGTTTGTACTGCTTATATCAGATTTCGATCACATTTTGTATTGTTGCCTCTAAGTCAGTTCAATAGATATTAGGTTATCCCACTAGACTACTGTTCGTTAGTAATGTACCGATTGCTCAGCAGAGATGCTTTTAATATTGTTGAGTATTTAGTTTCGCTTCGTTTCCAGTATTTTAATATTTCAGAATTCATAGTTAATAGGTTTAATTTGTAGTGAAATTCACACTTCATACATATAGCTTTTGTCACAGTTTTGTCGATAAACACGATGAAAAAGTTCAGTTCTTTAAGCATATCTTATTGAACCCGGTCTCTAGTTCGACAGACCATTTGCTGCAAGAATCCAAATTGTATTCATAGTTGAACCGGCCAGGAATTTTGTACCACTAATGATTGGCTTGAACAAAACTTATAGCAGAAAGAACAGCATGAACATAAACTTCTATATTTCTGTTCAGTTCTTAACATTTATATTATTTATTTATTTGAACACATAAATATTGGTACAAGAGAGCGCCAACATATATGCGCCACAGTTCTTAACAAGTCTTTCCGTAAGTCTGGCACAGTTGTGTGAAAGTATATTATTCAAACTGAATTCACTGACATTATTTAAGACTGCAAATAAGCTCAGCACACAAAGAACAGCGACAGCAGTTGTGAAGGTTTAGTTCAGTGACTAAAACATGACTTCTTGTATTCGGATTCCTGGCTTAGGGCACGTTGTCTTTTTGATTTGAGGAACTGGGGTGGTATTATTATTCATCCTTAGTTAAATTTTGGTATTATTCTTAGCTACAAAGCTGCATCAAACTAAGTAAATTTACCTGTAATTGCGTTACAACTCACTGTACTTGATGACTTCAACAAAGACTAGATCACCTAAGTATGCTACCCACTGTAGATCTGTAGATCTAAAACAGGAAATCTAAAAATAGAGAGCTTTTATAAAATGGCTAAATTGAGAAAACTTAACTCTATTTGTTGAACAAATGTCAAAGTTTATTTGGTTCTAGTCATAGCTTGTCATGTTATGCAAGCATACTTTCTTGGTTATTGAACTAATCTTTTCATGGTGTTCCGATCTTTAGATTTACTCATCAACTGCAAATGCTTACCCTCACTTGAATTTGAATGTAGTCTTTTCAACCTCAAGACTGACAGGACCTTAAACCTGCACTCTGAGTAGTGAGCAGGTAAAAGTAGTCCCGAAATTCGTGTATCTGGGTAGCTGCGTGAAAACTAGAGCGGCTTATGCCAATCTGGGTCATCTTAGGCGCCTTCTTGACGTTGGTCTGACTGTAAAGGGTCGGATCTGCAACGCGTTGGTGAGAGTAATTTTATTCTATGCTTGCAAAACCTAGCCTCTGTGTTGAGGTTGTTAGACGACTCTGTGTTTGATTATCGTTTCCTCTGAAGGACTGATGACATTCAGTGACAACACTATATTGGTAATGTAGAGGTTCAGCACCGTGTGTTCGGGCACAGTGACGATAATTCAGTTGGTGTCACTATCTTGAAACATCGACTTCGGTGGCTCAGGAATGTCTTATGAATGTCGTCCTAGAGAGTTCCACATCGTGCATGATTTGCTGACACTGGGACTGGTTGGTAAAAGTGGAGAAATGGTCAGTGTATGACATGGTGTCGTGGCACGAAAGAAAGCTTCACAGGACTAGCTTCTGTCAGTCTTTCACGACTCCCTGGTTGGTGTTTTGGAGGTGGTGCTACATAATGTCTTAAGACGTTATCAGACATGGCTCAGAATAGAAGTCAGTAGTGATCCTGCCTTAAGTTTCTTTTACTTTCTTCATAAAAGAGGACGTAAATTCTTTAACTCAAATTCTTTATGGTTATATTTTCCCTAACTTAACTGCACTTCCCGTTGTTATTGTTATTTCACTCTCGTACACTAATTCCTGTTCATTGTTGCGCTTTTTTATTATGCCCACCTTTCATTCTCTATCTCCACAACCTCATTTTTGTTGTGTGGTGCATGTGTATTTGGTGTCTCTTTCAACTTGACTAGGGATCAATGACACCTACGGCATCATTTTCCCATTGCATTAATTCACACCAAACGTTTGTTTCACTTTCAGTATTTTATGAATTACAGGGAGGAATTCCGTGGTTATTAAATTCTTTTCTACTGCTACTCCAACCAGCACTACTCAGACCACCAAGGTTAGTTTTCGTTTCTTTATAATTCTATGATTTAGACTACTTATGGACCACTATCTGATGAAGATCGAATATTCACCAATTTATACGGTCGACATGATTGGCGTCTTAAAGGTGCCATGAAACGTGTAAGATTATTATTATTGAGTTCCTTTCAACATTGGTTATTATAATAACAGGGTCACTGGTATAAAACAAAAGAGATTATCCTAAAAGGTAGTGATTGGATCATTGAAGAAATTAAAAAATCTGGACTACGTGGTCGTGGTGGCGCTGGTTTCCCTTCGGGCATGAAATGGAGTTTTATGAACAAACCAAGTGACGGCAGGTACAATTCAATGAATCGTTGTTTGTCTTGATCAATAAACAGTAAAACTGTATGGAAACGTTTCACACGTAACCAACTTTTTTATTCCATTTATGGACATTGTTTGTTTTTGCTTTACTTTGTCCTATTAGCGTATAAATGAGATGAAAAGAAACACGAATTCATTGTTGAACATATTAGTTAAAACGACTGAAAATTAGTATCCGTGGCGTGGGTACACCCACTCATTGTTTGTTCTTAGATCTTTATATATTCACAGACAACTATGTGGTATAGAAAAAGGGAAATGGAACGATAGTGAATTAAACTTTGTTTTATACATGATAGACAGGCCATCGACCTTACTGTTAAAACCGGTTAAATTTTAAGGGAAAAAGGTTTCACTATGTAGGTATTTATCAGTTCCATAAATTTACTAAATAGCAATACACATAATTTCAATAGGCCACTTGGTTGACCTTAAAACAACTTTTAAAGCTTTGTATAGACATTTTCAAAAGCCCACTTATAAATTTATGGAAGCTTTGGCTGTTCGAAGCCTCAGGCATCCTTCATATACGTAAAACCTTGAACGTCTGATCTAATAATCTCCAACATTTTCAAAGGTCTAGGGTAGTGCGATTAATTCCCACCCCTTCCACATTATTTTTGCTTTCTCATTTCCAGTCGTTACTTTATATTAATTTGATCTCTTATTTAATTGACCTTCATTAGTTTTCATATATGTGCCTTCAAAATTGTATATGTGACTAGGTTGTTCGTAATGTATGACTAAAACGCATCTCATTTCTTAAATTTACTAATCGCCAAGATGCTTAGAAATATAGGAAGTGAATATCACTTTTTTCCCAATGAACAGGAGCGTCTGCGTAATGATATTAGATAGACAAAATGTTGATGAGTTAGTTTCACATTTTTTTGCCTAGTCGTTAGCAATAAAATTGTTCGAGCAAGCTGATTGTCAATTTGTAGCTAATTACGGTCTATGGCTGTCTTTAAAATAAAAGATAACATCATTACATCACCTAAAGTTATGCATACTAGAGACTTTTGCGATTCTTAGGTAAATACTTGTGTTTTCGTTTGTGTACATGTCGCTTAATGTCTTGGGTACGTAATATCCGAAAAAAAGACGAATAACAGCTGTTTTAAATCTTATTGTCAATCAAATTTACTTACTAGGGATCGAATTTTGGCGGACTATTGGTTTTATTGATCCGTTTTATCATCCTGACATTTTATTTGTCGTAATAACACATGTTTGATCTAGAGAAATATATACGAAGCCTCGGACCTAGGTGTAATGCTTGTTCTTACGTTCGTTGACAAGAGACATCTACAATCTTTATAAAACCGATGGTTTGATGGGATTTGAACCGATGCTACATAGTGTCACAGTCAGTGACGCTACCATTTAGCTATTTGGGTCTCAGTTAACATCCTACAAAACAGATATTTACTGTAAATACTTATTTTTAACCAGTTTCATATTTATATAGTTTCTAGTACTGACTAAATTCTATCAATCGAATTGCAATATGACTACTAGTCTGCATGATTAGACGTCACTTGCAATATGTCTTTATGTTAGATGGTCGAATCCAACTAGTAATAAACTGTTGACCTAGTTTTAATTTTAGTTGAAACTTGTCAACAAGGTCATAAACCTCAGTAATATTTTAATTTAACACTTGAGATTTACTCTAGCCCTGTTATTTATTTGGTCGAACACATAAATATTGGTACAAAGGGGCACCGAATACATATGCGCCACATCAGTCACTTGATTTGTGTGTGGGCTGTGATACTACTCGGGTGCCCAGACCGAAGTAGGTGGTTTTCCTAGAGGGCCACGCCCAGAGCCTTATTTGGTTCTCAATGCATTCCCCTTTGTATTAGTGATCTCAATACTGATGTTTTGTTCAGTGATAGCTGGTTAGTTCGACAAAATTCTATAATTAACGATAATTAAATTGATATATGTAAACAAATTAACCTGAGTGTAAATCTTAATCTTCTTTGGTATTTTCTAATAAGTCTTAACAGGATTCTTCTTTCAGAGTGGTTGTGTTACAGTGTCACAGTTGCAGTAAGAATTATCGCCACATATCCTATTCCGTACCACTCTCTCTTGAAATTTAGTATGTTTTTTACATCACTGATCTGTTCTTTACTGTTTACTGTTATTGTAACCATTATTATTTGTCTAGACCTAAATATTTGGTAATTAACGCTGATGAAGGTGAACCTGGTACATGCAAAGATAGAGAAATTATGCGTCACGATCCACATACACTTATTGAAGGTTGTCTTATAGCTGGAAAAGCTATGGGTGCCAATGCAGCGTACATTTATATTCGTGGTGAATTTTATAATGAAGCGTCAAATATGCAATTAGCTATCAAAGAGGTAAATCATCATTTCCATTTTGATTCGGTAGTGGTTGTCATTCGTTTGCTTTCATTTCCTTCTGAAACTAAATAAGAGAGGGGACTTGGTAAAAGTATACTTTGTAGACGAGCTGAAAACAACCACAACAAACTTCCAGCTAGTTTCTAGCCTATCAAAAAAACCCAGCTTTTATTAGTGTATAATATATAGGAAAGAAAACAATAAAATGGTATATTGTGGACCGATTTCACGTAATTATCAAATCTATTGCTAATTTCCTCCACAGGTTACTCTGTCTGTCTATTCCCTCCTAAAAAACAACAACATAAACTCGTCCGTATGAATATAGGTTCTCCATCTTCTCAAACACTTCTTATAAAGAACCTAAAAAGATGCCTAAAATTTCTCAAAATATCCTTCATCATGGCTAGGTATTTAGGGTAAGAGTTAGAGTTTTCATCACAAATTGACATTAGGTTATAGTGTAACAGTGTTCTGTAGGAATATGAATGAATTGATTTCGCATAAAAACTTAATAGGCCGATGCACAAATGTGCCTGGTTTTAAGTTGTAGCTGACTGACTGATCTGATTAGTTCGTTCATAAATCTAGTTCTTTCAGATAAAGGTATTTCAGGACTAGGAGTTTAAGGTTAGGATTTAAGGGTAGCATCGATTTACAATCTACAGAGACAGAATTAAACATTTGATACGTTTAGCATCGTCACTTTTATTCTATCGTTGCAAAGAAATAATCTTCTATCATTTGAAATGTTTTGAGCAGTAAAATGAGGTATTTCTACTGTTCGATAGACGTGATATTTGAATTTTATTCAAAAACCTAACAGCCACTTTCTCGACTATAATTGACTCATCACTAAATTATACTTCTGCCGGCGAAATCAAGACGATGCTAGTCCACGAAGTCAGTCATTGACTGTTGATTTGAGTCGTATTGGTATATATAGATTACTATCTGGTTAAGGGGGCGTGGTAATTACTATTAGTGACTGGAGACGTTGGACGATGACTGATTGACCGACTATTTCTATTTCCTTACTATCAATTATCATCACAGACATGGTAAGAACGAAATTTTGTGTAATCTTTGTACTCCCAATGAGCTATTTTATTCAAGGATTTGGTAGACTTAACTTTGTGGTAATCAGTGGGTAGTTGACTGTTGTAGAAAATGTAATTATATACTTTTAAACATACCCACTAAGTTATGGGATAATTCAGTAATAAAGTTTTTTACCAACGAGTTTATCTTTAAAGCTATACAACCGTATATATATTGGACTTTTCTATACAGGCTTATGAAGCTGGTCTCCTGGGGAAAAATGCATGTGGCACTGGGTTTAATTTCGATGTTTATATTCATCGTGGGGCTGGAGCATATATATGTGGTGAAGAAACCGCTCTAATTGAATCTATTGAAGGAAAACAGGTATAGTGTTTTTTGCTCTGTCATTGTATATCTTTTTTGTGATAACTTTGTTATATCTGCCACTTATTGTATTTCCTGAATGCTTTACTGACTTGTGCTTGTTACTGAGAAGTCCGAGTCTGACGACGCATAGTGAGATCACCAAAACTCCTGATATAGATTTATTTGACCCCAAAAATAAATTGAAATGATCTATGAATAAACTACTTTTTATATGATTTATATACCGTCATAATTGTATAGTTTAAATTGAATACATTTATAATACTATACAATTAAACATCTATAATCGACGGATATAACTAATTGACCAAATTAGAATAACCTATTGTGTTATTGAATAAAATTGGAAAAATTCAGCGAAGAAAATGTTCTTTTCAACGAAATCATTTTACCTAAGCTCTGCATTCGTGTTTATATTGTTTTGTAAAAATATATATATGATCATATAAATATTGGTACAAGGGGCACCGAATACATATGCGTCGATAGAAGAGTACAAAAGTTTGTATCAAAGTGATTCAAGATTCCAAATATCAAATGAAGTTGCGCATTAACTAGGGGTTTTGAGAAGAATACAAGAATGAAAGCCCCTAAATACCCTGGTACGGCCGAGGGTGGGGAGAATCACATCTCCCTCTATAAATGCTCTCACATGGCCACCCATATGCTGCCGCTGTCATGGAAGTCCTACTCACTACCTTCTCGTGACGGTGTTATCTATGAATCTGAGAAGACGAAAAGCGAATGTCCGACACTTTAACCGGGTTGGTGGATACGGAGGATCCAACTAGGGGATTTGGAAAACTCTGATTCCAAACTGTTAGGTCCCGATGAGCATAATGAATGGTAACTTTTGGGATCCATTTATGGACCAATAATTTGCGTATATTTTTATCGTATAATTGTTAAGTAACTAAACTATTCATATTCATGTCCCTCTTATCATGAGCTTTATTTTGACCCATGAACTATCATTCTTGAATTATTCCCTGTCTATTAATTACTACCTCCCTCATTCATAGCCATATTTGGCTAATTCTTGTACAAATGTTTCATATTTTATGATACGGTGTGGTCTGTCTGGTTGGTATATAAACCCAGTATGCTTGAAATAAAAGATTCATATCACAAAGGCTGAGATTAGTGTTCTGGACTTAACTGACTGGGCTAGGCGGAAAGCAGGACCAATCAGGACTCTAGACTGCTCGTACGCGTTTTACGCGTCATTGGTCCGATCGATAAGTCATTGTTCTCTAATTTGCTGTATCGTTACGTTATGCATTAACAGGGCACTCAGGCCACAAGTTATAAAACAAACCAGTAGTGTACATGGGCTCAACTACCCTGATGGAAAAAATGGCGTATGAATCCACTGTTGGTCACCGGCTACCATGGGACTGCATCTCCTAACGTTTTTTTCCTCTGCCTTGTGAATTAGACCTTACGTCAAAAGCTCGTGGAGTGGTCAACTAATAAAATAACCTGGTTCAGTTTGGGCGCCTGGGCAGTATTCCAGCCCTTACGCAGATCGAATGATGAAAAATGGAGTATATATATCTGGTGCCTCCTTGTACCAATGTTTATGTGTTCAAAGAAATAAATAGAGGAATGAAAATAATTTTTGGATCAGAAATATGAGAGATAATTGTCCACCTAACAGATATGAAGAAGAAATGGGAAACGTGAATGCTATGTTAATCATGGAAAATTGTTAGCGGACAATAATAACTAGTTATGTAGGTGGAGTTTTGTTCCCTGAGCTTGATGGTTTGGTCGTCGAGCTTTCATAGTTCTTCCGAACAACATCATCAGCACAAACGTATACCTGAGCTACAAATCTCCACCATCTCAATAATTGATCATGGTGTGATGTGTGCTACTGATGTCTACAGACATAAGTAGCATGTAGCATCAATCGAAAGTGAAATGCCTGGAGGCAGAATGTTGGGAAGATCGAAGAAGCGAAAACAAAAACAGAAAATGATTGGTGTGGGAGCGAAGAAACAATAAATTCTGAGACTATTGATTAACATTTCGCATATGAAGTATTTACTGCATGGTTCTCAGATTTTACTAAGATATTTTGTAATTTTGTATTCAAATACTTTCGATCGTCCCCACTTATGTTCTCGTTCACTACAATGATTTAACAATGTACATAATAATAATAGATACAAAACAAGATCAGAGCATACTGGAGAATGGAATTAAGACCAAGAAATAATGAGAGGTTGGACGTATTGTTTTTGTACACAGGGTCCGGGCTTGAATTAGTGGATCACCAACGCCTCATCAGTGCATAAATTTTTGACTTGACCTCCGTTCGATATAGTTTCCTTGGTTGTGTAGATTATTTTGAAGGAAGATTTCTTTGGAGCGATATGTTCAGAGTTCATTAGGTGCTCCTTTATTGAACTGGTGATTGTTTTGAATTCCCCTTTTAAAAACCATACCGACTGATGTTCTGAGATGCGTTTGGAAAGTAATCGCTTTGTGTGGCCAATGTAACCTTCCCCACAAAATCAAGTAAATTTATAGTTTCACATCGATGTAGCCTAAAGTGTAAATTTATCCTTGACTAAATCATATAATTACTTTCTCAAGATGCAATGAATAAATTTCACAGACGGTTGTAAAAAAAATTAATCTCATATGTCATTTGTATTCTAATTGACTTATTCATTGCTCATCATATCGAAATTTAGTTGAAATTTATTTGGATTTGTCATTCGATCTTCAAATCATTTGTATTCATCAGATGTACTATCTGTTTGATACATTGACAACAGCTTTCTAGAAATTAAATCCTTCATTTCTTTTTTAGAAATATTTTCGTTCCTTTTACACACTATTATTAGGGAAAACCCCGTTTAAAACCACCTTTTCCAGCGGATATTGGATTATTCGGTTGTCCGACAACTGTGACAAATGTTGAAACTGTAGCTGTTTCACCTACAATTTGTCGTCGTGGTGGTGATTGGTTTGCAAGCTTTGGCCGTGAAAGAAATCGTGGTACTAAATTATTCAATATTTCAGGTAATTCATTGAATAATTAATAAAGTATTGTTTTTTTCTAGTCACTATCAATAGGTCAGGTAGATAGGATTATATCAACCAACCTGAGTGGGTTACTACCTCTATGCATAAACAACAGCTTTTTACTTGTCGTTAGAACTTCCTTTTGTACTGGTTGTATTTGTTTTTAAATTTCTCCGGGAACCCATTTTCTTTTAGAATACCAATCAATGCATTTATTCTTTCCTCAACTGCTTCTAGAGAGCATATGACCTTTATTCTACGATGGAGTATCTTAACCATATTTCGTTTACATTGAGGAAGGACGAAACTAACAAATTTCATCCAGTTTACTAAAAACGAGGAAAGTTCTTCTATTGACCCGTCTTAGTGCTTTTCTTTTATTTGCTCCTTTTTTTAACCCGTCTACTCTCTTTGGAGGGAAAACATTTAGAAAGGATATTCTGGCTCCATTTCCTTTCTCAAATGCGAATTTAGTAGACTAATAAACTTCATTAAATCTCTTGAGAGTGAGTCTCTTTCGAGTCAGTATGGTCCTTACAGATCATAAACTTATGGCCCATATATCGGTAATAAACTGGAGACTTATGAATATGCTGTAGCAGTGGACTGTTCTTTAGAAAAATTTCCGCTAATATGGGACCCGGTGATGAACTCATTGTCACGCCATCTGTTTGTTATAATATATTTCACCAATAAATATGAAGTTCACCTTCATGATGCTTTGTAGTGATAACCGTAGTATGATTTTAACTAGAATCATAGTTCCTATTTCATGTTTTTCTAGTTTTTTTCACAAATATATTCCACCGTCTGCATGAATGGGATATTTGTAAATCATAACATTACAACTAAGGACATCATAGTTAACTCATTAGTGTTTATATCTTTGATTTTGCTGAAGAATTGCAATATATCCTGAATACGGTGCTCTATCAACTGTCTCCGGAGTGGTTTCAAACTAGTTGCCAACCATCTTATTATGGTATGATTACGAGAGTTATACATTTCTGAAGTCAGTCTTAATAGGACACTCGATTTTTGTACATATTGTCAATCTATGTAGCCTTGATAGATCAGTTCTTACCAGCTTAATTATTCCGTACATATTTGATGAAACTATCTGTTGATCTCTGAGCTTTTTAAAAGAGATCTGGTCAGATCATTCTCCATCTTTTTATTAAGATCTTTTTAGTCATTCAGTTTTTCAAATTCCGGATTATTCTTTAAAATGTTATTAATTTTGTCAAAGTAGTCTTTTTTTGCCAAGTAGGACAATTCCAGTTCCTTTATCTAGTCGCGTGATAATCAGGTTTTCGTCTTTAATAAGTTCATTGATAGCCTCCTTGTGCTCTTTTGTTTAAAAAAACTTCGGTAGTTCTATTTACCACTTTGATAGCAACAATCAATTCGATTTGAGTTGAAAAACTTCCATGTTCTATTGATAGGAGGTTGAAGCTCGATCTGATATTTGATGACTTACTTACTTACGCCTGTTACCCCTCTTGGAAGGGCATGGGCCACCCACCAGCATTCTTCATCGAACCCTGTCTTGGGTAATCCTTTCCAGTTGCTATTCGTCCTTTTGATATCTGCTTTCAAGTTGATAGCAACTAATTAGAAGGAATTTTCTTTGTTCATGTATCTCTAATAGTCTTATATCTGTAAAAAGATTACTTTTCATCTTAATAGATTATTTTGAAGTAATAAATCATATGGTGATGGAACTCATGAATTCGAAAAATGAATACACACACACTTTGTGTGACATGATTGTCTTCTTAACAAATTTCTCAACATCCTAGATCTTGGATACCTACTGTTCAATGTTATCTTTGTTCGTCTAATTCAACTATGGATTTCTAGCTGCTGAATGGAATTTTTAATTTTACATTATTTGACTAATTTAAATTTTATTATACATGTTTTTATTGATAGGGCATGTGAATAATCCATGCACCGTTGAAGAAGAAATGTCCATACCGATGCGTGATTTAATTGAACGACATGCTGGCGGTGTAATCGGTGGTTGGGATAATCTATTAGCTGTTATTCCAGGTGGTAGTTCTACTCCATTATTACCCAAAGAGTAAGTTACTAATAACTTATGAACCAATTTTCTGGTATTGTGAATTGATTGAAATTAGATATGTAAAAGATTTGGGTGCCAAGTTAGTAGTTCTGATTTTATGAAATTTACAAAAAAACATCAATGTTATAACTAGATTACAATGATTGAAGTCGCGTGTTAATTTCTTCTATTCCGTGTCTACACATGGCACCAGTCCATGTCATTGACAATTAAACTTGGCCATATTAATAGCTGTAGACTACCTGATCGAATTCAGCGTGATTAGTGATTTTGGATGACATGGTTCACAATCGTTTGCAATTGTGTACATGCATCCATTATTTGTCTTAACCCAAATAGTAAGTTTCTGAATTCATCATAACTTTTTTTGTGTTTTTATTTCGCTAATTCATATTTTCTTTTTGAGCCGTATCTTGGATGCCTGATCTTTTCTACAATCACTAATACTGTTACTATCTCTATTTTTCTGAGATTTTGCCTAACAAATTTATCTCGCTGTGCTCATGGGGGTATAGGAACTTGAACAAATTTACAAACTTACATGTTCTTCGTTTTGACTGACTGATTCAGCGTCCATTAATTTTACTACTATAGCCTAATGTCCTAGACCTAACCATTTCATACATCTGTCTTGAATAGTTAATTTTAAGCCGATCCAAACTAAACACCTATTGGTCCACTATACTTGAGCTCTTTTCTATCCTTTGCTTTGAATCCGAAGACGAGTTAACAGCACACTTCTATCATTATCATAATTGTATTTCAAACACACTTGGATTAATATACAAACATACGGGATGACATCGTAACATAAAATGAAAAAAGTCACAAATATACATGAACAAATTTCATTCGTTGAAATCGTGAGTCAATCGAAGCTAGACCATCATGGAAAACCTGCAAGCACTGGACAGCCGTTTCGTCCTAGTATGGGACTCCTCAGCAGTACGCATTCACGATCCCCCCCGCGAGATTCGATCCCAGGACCTATCAGTCTCGCGCCAGGCGCTTAACAAACTAGACCACTGAGCTGGCATCCAATGGTGTTAATGTTTAACTTCAACCAATCCACGAAGTTGCGCCACCGTACATCATTGTCTTCAGTGAGTTGATATCTCACAACTGTTGAGGAGTCCTACAATAGGTGGAAACGGCCGTCCAGTGCTTTCAGGTTATCCATGGTGGTCTAGCTTCAGTTGACTCATGATTTCAACCAGTGAAATTTCTAAAATCTCCACAAAAACACATTCTGATAATACATGAACAAGCCAAAAATGGCTGTGAATACATCAATCAATCATACCATCTTCAGAATAACGTTCCTTTATATATAATTTATTTATTTATGTTATCACTTCTGCTTTTACATTACAGATTGGTATTAATTTTAGAAAATAAGTTGAATAATCATGTATGTTGATGGGGTTTATGAGCTGGAAATCTCCGGACTAACACCGCTGAATGAGTATTAATGGGAATTGTTGCGTAATTGTTTAACAAATTAGTTACTTATAGTAAAATTAAAGCTCTCATCGGTTAAAAACAGGTCATTGGAGTTCATAGGATTAATTGTTTATTCCATTCTGTTCTTAATTTATATTCTTAGTTGCTCAGTTCAGATATTTGTTGAGGGAGATTATATGTATATATTTTTTAATTAAAATGATGATTTTCTTCCTGATCTAAACATTACGTGGTGTTTACGTAACTTATTAAAACTATCTATTTATGTTGCGAAAACCATTTTCTTCAGATATGACGAATGTAGAGCAACTGAATGAGGAATCCTATGGTTTAGGCATAGAATGCTTGGCAAAGATTGTAAATCGGTTGATGACAGAGTTGTCAACCTTGATCAACCTAGGTGGTTGGGACATTTTATACGTATGTATAACCACCGTCTACCTCAATATGTAGTGTTAAATGTATTATTATTTATTTTCAGAATGGGTTTTGTGGAGAGTTTTAGAAATTTCACAAGTTGAAATCATGGGTCAGTTGAAGCTAGACCACCATTGAAAACCTGGAAGCACTGGACGGCCGTTTCGTCCTGGTATGGGACTCCTCAGAAGTGCGCATCCACGATCCCGCACCACGCGGGGCTCGGACCCAGGACCTACTGGCTTCGCGCGCGAGCACTTAACCACTAGACCACTGAGCCGTGGTTAAGTGCTCGCGCGCGAAGCCAGTAGGTCCTGGGTCCGAGCCCCGCGTGGTGCGGGATCGTGGATGCGCACTTCTAAGGAGTCCCATACCAGGACGAAACGGCCGTCCAGTGCTTCCAGGTTTTCAATGGTGGTCTAGCTTCAACTGACTCATGCTTTCAACTTGTGGTATTATTTATTTATTTATTTCAACACATAGATATTGGTACAAGAGGCACCAAATACATATGCGCCACACAAATCTCATTCGATATGTGTGAGGGCTGTGATACTGCCCGGGTACACTCAAACCGTAGCAGGTAGTTTTCTTAGGGGTCCACACTCCGAGCCTTTGACCCTAAGGTCTGACCCACAAGGCAGTGGAGCATCGTGAGGAGATGCAGTCCCATGGAAGCCGGTGACCAACCATTGGTTCATACGCCATTTATTCCCGCAGGATACTGGGACCGATGTGCACCATTGGTTTGGAATCCGGTTAAAGCGCCGGACATTCGCTTTTCGTCCTCTCAATTTCGTAAACAACACCCGTAGTGCGAGAATGCAGTGAGTAGGACTTCCCTGACAGAGGCTGTATACGCGTGGCCGTGTGAGAGTATTTCGAGAGGGAGGGCGGGCCCACCCCACTCTCGGCCATACCAGGGCATTTGGGGGTAATTTTCCTTCATAGATCACTTTTCACTGTTTTTTTTCTGGGACATTATTTTCAGTGTCTGGTGTTTCTTTCGATCATTACTACTACAATATTTCAACTTCTTTACTATCGATTTTGTTAAACTCACTTCATGGTGATTCAGTATGACAAACTAATTTGAGAAAATGCACACTTGTACCCAGAGTTTATGTTGGTTATGACTGCTAACTTTCTTCATATGGCTTTTCTTTTTTGAAAAATTAGTTTTATATTTTCAATATTTTCACTGAATACTTGATTTACTATTTGTTTATTTATTATCATTTATTTCAGTATTTGTAGTACTGTCCTAATGGATTTCGATGCTCTTGTACAAGTTAATTCTGGTTTAGGTACAGCAGCATTAATTGTAATGAGTCGATCAGCTGATGTTGTAAATTGTATCTCACGTCTTATTAAATTCTATGAACATGAAAGTTGTGGTCAGTGTACTCCATGTCGTGAAGGATGTCGTTGGTTAGGTCAAATTATGACTAGATTTGGTAAGTAAGCGTGTATACGTACACTTTTATTTCAAACTCATCCACAATGCTGTGAAATCATAGTATTTCTTATTCCTAGACACATCTTACTATAGAGTTATAAGCCGCTTTAGTTCGGTTTGAACTCGATCGCAGGAATTCAAGTTCTTTGTTAGATTACTTAAAATGACGTGTCCGAAGTCGATTAAAGTCAAAAGAGACTTTCTTGTCCACTTGGAATTTATATATATGAGTGGTTCTACATTTAGAAACAATTAGCTTAGATTAAAAAAGTCTTACATTCAAAATGATAAATTAAGTGAAGTTTTGCAAGTGTAATACATTAAGGAAATTATACATTGGTAGACTAGTTACTTATGAGTAATGCAATTATATAATAGATAAATCTCAAATCGCGTTTCTACTATTTCAATATGTTAGTATGAGGTTGTGGAAATGATCTAATTTCATTTAAATCACAAACCGATCTAAATTAGACGATAATGGAAAACCTGGAAGGATTGGGTGACTGTTTTATTTCGTGAATTCAATGAAATTCAACAATTTCCAAAACCTCATACTGACAGTTACTCCATATACTGACTACTGACTAGCTTGAAGAGAAGATTTCCAGTTGCAGTGAGACGTCGTGATCAGCGAAGTTCATCTTTGTCGAGTGTGAAGAAGACATCCTCCTGAATACAATGGGAGATATTTACAAAATATTTTGATTCGATTGAAGTCAGACAGTCAGCTACAATGTAGGACCAGGCACATGTATGCATCGGTCCAAATTGCCATACCGCATTAGCACAGCAAGATGAACACCGGATTCATAAATGCAGTTAATTTAGAGGTGGTAATATATAAAAGATAGACTGCATATAAGGATATAGTACAGGAAGAAAGAATTAGTTCATATAAAGAAAGATATGAAGCGATTTTAATCTCTTAGTTTAAGGGAAGACAGAGAGTGTATACACCTACGCCATTGTGATCGATTCTGAGCCATGTCACCAAGAGTCTTCAACCATTGGTTATGATAGTCACACGGACCCCAACCAAGTAGTCTGCATCTACCAACATGGCTCAGACTAGAAGTTAGTGTCTTCAAGCACTGATGCCACGTTTTGGTTTGGCCGCCCCTAACTTTTTTCCAACCATCCCGAACACGGTTAGCATTGCACGTCGTGGTAATCGGTGTTCGGGCATACGTAACACGTGGCCCAAACATCCCATCAACTGATTTGCCATCATTCCCTAATAAATACCCTGTGTCTAACCTCACTATTACTTACCCGGTGATCTCAGCAGATGCGAGCAATATTTCTAAGGTATCTTGAAATTGTTCATGATTTCAGTGATATTTCAGTATGGACAATTGAATATTCCTCATACAATAAAAGTGTATCTCAAAGGTAAGTAAACCAACCTATACTTGGTAAATTTTTCTGTCATTTTTTCTCTTATTCTCTCTCAAGAGCACTTTTGCCTTCACGACCTCTGTGTGTGTTTATATGAATTTTTTACATTTCCTAGTTAAAGGTAACGCTAATAAGGATGAAATCGATATGATATGGGAAATTTCTAAACAAATGGAAGGACGTACAATTTGTGCTTTAGCCGATGGAGCTGCATGGCCTGTTCAAGTAGGTTGGACTATTTCTTTCTTCTTTTTTTCCTTTTCTTCCAAATGATAAACAATAAAATTATGTTCCATTAATGTCCAAACATTGTCCAGATTTTGAAATATTCCTTAAAATACAACATTCCCTCATTTCGTACCATCTCACTCTGTGGATTTAAGTTCACTCGATGATATTCAGTGGTATTTTCTACTACCCTGCATCAAATTTTGATAATCCTCAGTCATTTGTCCTAGTAGATCATAGTTTTTATGGTCTGTGGTAATCGACCAACAACAACTTCATATTAAATTCTTAAAATGTAAGTTAATCATGATAAACGTAGGATCTAGGAGAGGTTTATATTAATTCAAGTTGACATGTCATATCAGTCAGTACAACAGAACGAAATTCAAAAGAGATATACCAAAAGACTCGAAAAACTATCAGTAGTATTAGTGATAGTAATAATAACAAGACAGTCAGTCACCAATGTAGCACAGTTAGCGATTGGCCCCAAGTTGTTGTGCATATTAGCACGGTAAGTTGATGAATGGTAAAAGAGGTCAGACCAATTGTATTAGTATAAATAGATTTAGAGAATATGGTTGGAAACGAAGCAATGAAATGAGGTTATTAGGCGGTATGAAATAATATTAAAACTGAAGATTTGCGAAAAGATAGAGAATAAATGCAACTGTTCAACTTCAAAGGATTTTGTGTCATATCATCTTAACATTTTTAATCCTTGGTTATAAGTATTGTTTTCGGCATCGATCAGGATATCTGCACTAACCAACACGGTTCAGACCAACACTAAATGATATCATGTACTGGTTGTATGTCTTCATCTCCCGGGTGCCCCAAAATGCCCTAGTACGGCCGGGAGTGGGGAGTGTCAGCTCCCTCATATGGCCACATGCATACAACAACTATCAGGGAAATCCTACTCACTACCTTCTCGCACCACAGGTGTTGTTTACTAAATTAAGAGGGCGAAAATCGAATGTCCGGCGCTGTAAGCGGATTGGTGGATATGGAGGATCCAACTAGGGAGTTGAAAAACCCTCATTCGAAGCCAATTGTGCACATGGGCTCAACGACCCTGATGGTAAAGTGGTGTATAAATCTACTGTTGGTCACCGGCTACCATTGAACTGCATCTCCTGACGTTTCTCCACTGTCTTGTGGATTAGACCTTTAGGTCAAATATTCTGGGTGTGCCCACCTAATAAAATCACCTGTTTTGGTTTGGGCACCCGGGCAGTATCCTAGCCCTCACACAAATCGGATGATTTATGTGACTCATATATATTTGATGCCTCCTTGTACCAATATTTATGTGTTTAAATAAATAAATATCTACGACCCTAGTACTTTTCCAATCCATTCCTATTATAGCCAACATTCCACGTCGATGTAGACAGTGGTTCATCATGCATGATACATTTCTTAACTGCTATAGTTGATAAACGTTTACAGCCGCATTGTATGAAGCACACGTATTCAACATCTTAATAATTAATTTTTATGAACACTTTTCTGATAATCTCCCTTTTTTTCTTTCTGTCATTTTCATCTTTATTCAGGGTCTTATTCGACATTTTCGTCCTGAACTGGAAGCTCGATTTGCTAAATATGGTATAGAATTAAACGAACCACCTAAAGCTGAATCCAGTATTCCATGTTGATAATAATAGTAATAATGATCTATACTGTTTATTTCTTTCATGATTACTGTTTATATATAAATGGATATTATCAAGTTAAAACCTTTATCTTAGTTTCTTCGTCCCTTTTACCATTTACCTCAGCACATTTTTATGTGTGTGTGTTTCTCAACTCTTTTCAAAATTATCTTCTCTTTGTCTTGTTCAACTAAACTCTCTTTCTATACATAAATATATTACGAGTAGCAGAGAATGAAGAATACTTCTTCATTTTTATAAATTTATCTATTTTCAAACCATAGGATAGTTTAAAAGTTGAAAATATGAATTTGCTAAGCGTTCAGTTCTCATCGGTATCATCGGAATGAAGATTTTCAATTTAGTGGTTCAATATGATGTTAATCAGTTAGTCTTTGATTGCGATCATGAACCGAATGATGTTAGACCACCATTGAAAACCTGGAAGCAGTGGACGGCCGTTTCGTCCTATTGTGGGACTCCTCGGAAATGCGCATCCACGATCCCGCTCACGGGATTCGAACCCAGGGTCTTCAGTATCGCACGCGAACGTGAAATCCTTGGAACATATGTGTAACGGTTCAAAATACTACATTACATCAGTTTAGTGAGATAAAATTATTAAGATAAGTTCCAAAGTTGTAGAAATCGTGATAGTCTCAGTATTAGTAAAAAGTATTCACTGTCAAGGATTTGATTCAAAAACAAAAAAATGGATTTTTGGAATAAAAGTTGGATAATAATTTTGAATGTCAGAATCCAAGAAAAGATAACAAGTGAATGAATGCATCTGTAGCATTGCGACTATTTCTGAGCTATGTTTTCTAGTGTTTCCAACCATTGATCGCGGTTGTATCGTGGATCCCGATCAGGTAGCCTGAGTTTTATTAATGTAGCTTAAACCAGCAATTAATGATTCTTTGTACTGATATCACATTGTGGTTTTACTACTCCAGTAGCTTTTTACACCATTTGACGTCACCTGTCGAAGTAGAGTGTGGTAAGTAAATGTAATATATGTTCCAACTACCTCAGTTACAGTCAGTCAGCTGCAACGTAGGAGCAGGCACATATATGCATCGGTCCAAATTGCCATACCGCATTAGCACAGCAAAATGAACACCGGATTCATAAAAGTAGTTAATTCAGAGGTTGTAATATATAAAAGAAAGATTGCATATGAGGATAAAATATAGGAAAAACGAATTAGTTGGTAGAAATAAATGTATGAAGCGATTTGAACCTCATAGTTTAAGGGGAGACAAACAGTGTATACACCTACACCATTGTGATCGATTTTGAACCATATTAACCAGAGTCTTCAACCATTGGTTACGATAGTCACGCGGACCCCAACCAAGTAGTCTGCATCTACCAACATGGCTCAGACTAGAAGTTAGTGTCTTCAAGCACTGATGCCACGTTTTGGTTTGGCCGCCCCTAACTTTTTTCCAACCATCCCGAACACGGTTAGCATTGCACGTCGTGGTAATCGGTGTTCGGGCATACGTAACACGTGGCCCAAACATCCCATCAACTGATTTGCCATCATTCCCTAATAAATACCCTGTGTCTAACCTCACTATTACTTACCCGGTGATCTCAGCAGATGCTAGCAATATTTCTAAGACATCTGATGTCAAATACTAGTAGCAGCCGTAAGGTAGAACAGGACGAAATGTCGCGCAGTATACTCGTCCCTTATTTGATCAACTACCTCAGCAGATAAGTGTTTATAGTACCGTCAATTGATTTGCTATATTTATCGACCATCCTAAATTTTGCCGTAGGCTTATTTATTCGATGGTTCCAACGTTATGGAGCAATGTTTCGAAGGCATCTATGATCAAATACTGGTAGTCTGTGAATATCCTCCATCAGTGGATGCCACATTACAAGCCAGTAAAATGGAATAGAACTGAATTCTATTTATTACACTCGACCTTTCGTTTACAGACAAATCTCACCTACGCCACAAGTTGACAAAACCGTTGGACGTAATGAATATATGTCGAGATTTCGTCAGACACCAGAAGTGATATGACTTCCAAGATAAGTGAAGTGGTCGACGTGCTGAGTATGGCGTTTTGGGTTTACACGCTATTGAGAAGTCATGGGCACTGGACAACCTTTAGTCCTTATTGATTTTCTATGCTTTTATATTCAGTGTCAGTTAGTTCGTGATAATAAGAATATATATTAATACTACAACATCTTTGTAAAGGAATTTCTGCGGTTTAAAAATTATCTTTAAAGAAGAAATAATTTACGCATGTCAATACGCAGTAGTTAGAAATGTACCTAAGGATGCAGGTCAGACTAAAATGCCGGTAAAGTGCATACAAGTTTAGGCATGCTCTGTGTTCATATACTTGGGCTTTGTTTCATGTGGTTGCTCCACGAATTAATTACCTTTTTCACGCATTAAAGCCAAACGCGTACTGATATGAAGGTTAACAGAATAGGATATGAAATGTGTTTCTACATCTGGACGTAGAAAATCATTTAAACAGTATGATAATGGATCTAATTTTATTACTTCATAAGTTTGATGTGGGAATAGTAGTTTGTTTTTCGTATACCGCTACCCGTAAAAAGGAAATTCGGAGTCAGTGAGGATATTGGCTTTCGCCTACTCTACCGTTTGATGCAAGGTATACTGCACAATTTTATTCTTAGTTAACTGCCTGTAATTACCCCATTTTATATGGAGATGTGCTAATATTCAAGGTTGTTAAGTTTCTTATTGGGATAATCTGGGTTAATCAGTGGTTTGATGCCAGGAAAAGACCGAAAGAGTCTTGTCTAATACGCTTTTAACAGGAACTTCCTAGAGTTTAAGAAATGCTATAGTTTAGGTATCATGTTCTGATTGGATAGTCACCGATTTGGCTATCAGTTTTGACGTGTTTTGATGCTTTTAAAACATCGAGGTTTTGAATATGAATTTCTTCTGAGACGAAATTAATCATGGGAATAAGGTTTCTTTCCATAGTTCTATCATTTCGTATTGTGTTTGGGTTCAGCTGTATGAGATTTCTTAAGGGCTATGAAACATTTAGGATACTAGTATCATCCATTCAAGTATAGGACCGATCAGATTTTGTTTACCACTAGTTGTTTAGCTAATATCGATTTCTGACAAAAACTGTTCCGAATCTATCAAATTTAACGTGATTTCGTAATAAGAACTTTGGAGTTAACTATTATACTTGATGCTTGTGGGGAAGTTTGAGTACTTATGTGATGATAACTTTGCAGAACTTTAATTTATTGGTTGACAGGTTTGTCATCAGCTAACTATTTCACAACCCCAACATCAGTCAATACAATAAACAAGATTATTGCGTTCTTCTCACCAGTCTAATGAAAGTTAGAAACCCGGTTTATTGATTAAGACCTCAGAACAATTGGCCTTTTTTACATAGTGGGGTAGGCATACTTATATGTAAAATAGTAACATGATGCGAACATAATGAAATACCACAGTCGATTGAAGGAAATTATTTTGTTGCTCACTTTCCCCAATCAATTAATACCTCATCGTTAGGCCTAGATCTTGATTATTGTATAAACAGTTTAAGAAAATGTCATTTATAGCTCTGCTCTTGGTCGTATTGCTAACATATGCATCCTTAGTGATTATTATCACCATTTCTAATGATTTTAATAAGCATATATATAAAAAATTTTCGAAAAATTAAGTTGGCCGTAGTGTTTCATGCTACTCTTCATTAGTTGTTAACAACTAGGAAATCTGATCAGAAGACATCTAATTTATGATTGATAACATTGGATTAATGACTTACTAGTCGAATGATCGACTAATAATATCATAGTTCTATAGGAGGTTAGTCTCACAACCTGTTTAGCTTATTGGCAGCGCATCAAACTGTGACACTGGTTCAAATCCTACACGAATTATCAATTCTTTCAATATTACAGGTATTTCTTTCTAAGGAGTACTGACTAAAATAAAACTTAAGTCCTGTGCTTCCTGTAGACTGCTCTTCTATCAAAACATAGTTTAGGAGGTAGTGAGTTGTTGAGACTAGTAGTCATATTGGCATTTTTTCGATAGATAAGAACTAGAAAAACATGACATTGAGTAACTAGTGTTGTTTCCATAATTTCACTTATATACATTTATGGGAACTCTTGAAAACTACTAACAGTTAACAGTTTTCGATGTTAGATAATCTGGTAAGTGAGAAGATGGTCTCATTTATACTTCAATATTGAGTATTATCGTAAAAAATAATTACGAAATATATAAGCAAAGATGGATGGTGGTCAACAATGGAATACAGGACGCGAGTTTCATCCCTTTCCGGATTCGTCATTTAGATGTATCTGCATCCAAGAGTTGATATTCACTCCGGAACTCGAACCCAGTACCATTTGCTTCAAACGCCATGACTTGTCCACTTAGCTACTGATTCCTGATAGCTACCTGCTTGTGCAATGGGGTGACGTTTAAATTCACATGGTATTGTTTATTCGAATTTTCCCATTGTTTTTTTAGAGCTACGATTGATTAGTCTCTTATTGCCATATGTGCATACTGTACGTATTGCCTCAACATTGCCCTAATTCACAAGCTTTTTATGCAAAGATGGATGGTGGTTAGCAATAGAATGCAGGATGCTAATTTCGTCCTATTTAACACTCGTCAACTGAATGTATCTGCTTGTGACTTAAGTCAATATTCAGGTAAGTCAAACCTGGATACATTAATGTCAATCGCAATCATAAAACATACAATCAAACAATATCATATAAATTTTTATTACAAAAATATACTTGTCATAACTTGTGACCGCCGATTAGAGGTCAGTGAATTATCGATCGGACCAAGGACGCGTAAAACACGTGCGAGCAGTTTACAGTCTTGATTGGTCCTGCTTTCCGCTTAGTTCAGCCAGTTAAGTCCAGAACACCAATCTCAGTCTCTTCGATATGAATTATTTATTTCAAATATACTGGGTTTTGTATACCAATCAAACAGACCACAACGTACCAATAAAATATGAAACAACATTTGTACAAGAATTAGCCAAATGTGACTGTGAATGAGGGAGGTAGTAATCGACAAACAGGGTATAATTCGAGAATGGTAAAACGTATAATAATGGTTCATAGGTCAAAATAAAGCTTATAATAAGAGGAATATGAATATGCATAGTTTAGTTACTTAATAATTATACAATAGAAATATACGCAACTTAATGGCTCATCAACAGACCCCACAAGTAACCATTCATTATGTTTCTCGGAACCTAACAATACTTTTTTTTTTTTAAAAATAATCACTTTTATGTACTTTTGTGTTTACACCAATAATCTATTTTCTTTATAGATTGAATATCACATGAAATGATTTTCATCATAAATAGTACATTACCTTTTCTTACTCATTGACTTCATTTCTCTCTTTTTTTTAAAAAAATTATCTACCTAGAAACAATATGAGTAGAATTCATAAAACAGCTCAACAACAAAGATTACATCATCATGTCTATCAAATAACCCCAACAATCCATAATCATACCTCATTACAAACTATACTCCATTCGGAATTATTATTACTTGATCAATTATTTGATCATCAACAAATGATTCATTATTTATTTAATAAAAATACATTTTGTTTAAATAATTCTAATTTATGGACAATTGAATGGTTACAACAATATTTAGATATATTAACAGAATTTGGACAATTATTATTGAAATGTAATAAAAATAGTACTACTATTCATATAAATATTGATGATATTCTACCTATAACACGTTTATGGCATAGTTACTTACAAACAAGTTTAATCTCATATCCTATAGAAAGTAGAATGCTTGATTATGATCAAAATATCAAACAAAAAATCAATTTTACATGGGATATGTATATTGTATTACATAAACCTAATCAATGTCAATTAAGATCATATTTATTAAATAATCAATCAATAATCAATCATATACCAAATTATTATTATCTTACTATACCATCATTAATTAATATAGAGAAAATGGAATCAACTATGGAATCATATAAAAAACAAGAAATCAATGATCCATATGAATCAATTCGTATGACGGATCATTTTTTATTGAATAATCAATTATTAGATCAGTGGGATTTGATTTCACCAATGAAAATATGTCAATTATTATTTTCTATAGTATTACCAGAATGTTTAAATAGAATAATACTGAATGATTTTGGTCAAAATAATTTAAAAGTAATTCGTTGGAAATGTTTATTTGAGAATGATATTAATAAAGCAATTGAAGAAGGTTATTATCCAATTGAAGTGAGTTATTATATTATATATATAAAAGCATTTTTCCCATCGCACAAGCTAGTAGCTATTTGCACTCAGTAGCTGAGTGAATGATGTGATGACGTTTGAAGCAAATGGCACTGGGTTCAACTCCCGGAGTGAATATGAACTCTGGGATGCAGATATATATTCAACTAACGAATCCTAAATAGGACGAAACTTACTTCATTGATTTCACTGTTAGTCATCATCCATCTCATTTTAAAATATATTGGGTGTCTGAAATATAGATAATAAAAGCTTGCCTACTATCTTCTCTTGTTCAGACTGCTAGTAGAAGGCGTCTGTGTCGGAGGATCAATAAGCATTAAAAATATGTTGTTCTTAACTGAGAAGTAATCTTGACATTCCAAGCGTATCAGTGATCAAAGATTAGGACGCTAGACTACAAATGAAACGGTACAGGTAGAGTAGAGAAATTCTAGCTGCGATTCTAATTGCTGAAACTTCTTTAGATATCGATTAACCTCCTTGCATAACAATTGTATTAATTTTTTTTAATTGAGATCATGAATCGATTGATGTTAGACCACCGTTGGAAACCTGAAAGCACTGGATGGCCGTTTCGTCCTCAGTGGTGCGCATCCACGATCCCGCTTGCTGGATTCGAACCGAGGGCCTTCAGTATTTATATAATATGAAGAAACTCAATAGAAATCTTCAATGTTAATATTGTTTTACTCAGATAACACTAGTAAGGTTTGATTCTCTTGGTTTCATCTGTTATATATATATATATATATATATATATATATATATATATATATATATATATATATACTACCTCTAAAGTATTGCTCATGGAATCGTGAAGTTATAAAAATTCTAACCTTTCTAAACCTTCAGTTCAAACACTAGTAATACACTATTAACACTAGTAGATATGTGATTGAAAATCATTTTTAATTCATAAACTACAGTATACTAATATTATAAACCTGTCAATCAGTTATATTATGAAAATTTCCTAGTTATACATCTTTGGAGATTTGACTAATTGAGTAATGAGTAGTGACCAATATATTTCATTACTATGACTTAACGTTGGTTGAATTCTATAGATCAATGTTTAAATGTAGTCACTATTAGTTTAAATGGCTCGATATGGTATGAACTATATTCTGATCTGTTGTTAAAGACGTATTCAAATGCTATAAATGAAGGTTAATGATGTAATCAAAATAAGTCTTTAAATTATACCCAATATACACTAAGTTATCTATCTGATATAATTAGCTGGTCAATAGTCTAATATGAATAGATTAAACTAGGTAGTTCTAGACATTAATTAATCAATAATGATTTACAACATCATGAGATTAACTTACTTTAAGTAATCTACTGAGTTAAGTGATTTAATCATTGCGAAAAACAAGTGGTATTTAGCATCCATTATTAAGATTTATCCACAGTTATGAGGGTTTTAGAAGATCTGACAATCACGTTAGGGGATTAAGATATTAAAACATTTTACCATCTCTCGAACTGATTTGTTTCCATTTTTATGATCGCATTGAATACGATTCATTTCAATTTCAACAAATCTATAAATTTCATAATTGATTTGATAAGTTGATTAAGGCTAGACTATCATGGAAAATTTGGAGGCACTGAACAGCTGTTTTGTTCTAGTATGCTCTCAAATTTCATGTGACTGATCATGAATGTGTACTGACACTGAAGAGTCCCATACTGGGACAAAACAATTGTCAAGTACTTACAGGTTTTCCACAATGATCTAGCTTTAATCAACTCATAAATTCAACTATTAAACTCAAACCCCTCCCTCTATTCACATTAAGAATCTATAAATGGTTCTTTTTTCTTGTTCTTTTTTATTTTCTTTTTTTTTGATTTAAAGGTTGTATTTGATTTAAATAGTATAGGTCTTAATTCATTTTATTATAATTCTAAATTATGGAAAACTCAATATACTAATCATTTAACACATAAAATACAAATCAATAAAAATAATCATTTATTATCCATATCAAATATTGATTATAATCATAATATAAATAAATCTGAATCAAGTTATCATTCTTCAGTTACTATGCCAAATATTTTAATTATGTATATTAATTTTCATCCAGTTTTTTCATTTAATGATTTTATCAATACTACTCCTACTCCTATTACTACTACTACTAATAATAATAATAATAATCAATCAAAAACTCAGATAGCAACTATAACCAATAATCGATATATATCGATTTATTGGAAACATAATTTTTTAAAATTAATAACTCCATTACAATTCAATAATAATAATCAATTAAATTATAATTTACCATTATGGTCCATATGTAATTGTCTTAAAGAAGATTTTATTTTACAAAAAATTCATTTTATTCATAATAATCATTATTTTTATATGAAATCTATTAGAATTTTATTAAATTTAATTCAATTTAATGATTTATTATATAATACAAATTTATTACAAATATTTAATATTAAAAATATAATTGAATTATATTTACAATTAATTGATGAACAATCAAATCAATTAATAATCAAAAATCAATATTATCCAAATAGAATCAATTCTGAAAAAAAATCAATAATTGATTGGCAACAACAAAAAAGTTTATATGAATTAATGAATGATTTATTAAAAAAAATGATTGATATATTACATAATAAACAATTATTATCTATTACTAGCCCAGAAACTAATTTATTACAAATCGATAATGATGATGTTACAAATAAATTGATTAATCAATCACGTATGATATTAACTACATGGTATTCTAATCCATTAAAATTAAAAAAATTAATAATAAAAAAAATTGAAATGTTAAAAAAATTGATTCATAAATTTAATGATTTATATCCGGATAAAGAAATTTCATGACTAGATTGAACATTGAATAGACTTTTACATTTTAGAAGGTATCTCAACTATAGAAGTTGTTCAGCTGATCATTTCATGATGTTTTGTATTCTTACACTTCTTTAATCCCATAACATCCTTTTATAGACATTATCTTAGAAACAGAGAGAGAGAGAGAGGGGAGAGAGATTTGTCAATCTCTATTCTGGATATGCATTTGATGAGAAAGGGGAGTAATGGTTCCTTAAAATGATCCATTTTTTGTATGTAGTTTGATTACGTAACAGATAAACTAATTCATCAATCACGTATCCTATTAAATTCATGGTATTATAATCCATTAGAATTTAAAAAATTGAAAATGTTAACAAAATTGATTCGTAAATTTAATGATTTATATCCGGATAAACAAATTTCACGACTAGATTGTACATTGAACATATTTTGGTTATTGAACGTTGGTTAACTGATCATTCCATGTTTGTATTCTTACATTCTTTTGATTACATATCATTCTTTTATACACTTTAAGTTAGAAACACACACACACTCTGTGTGTGTGAGATTAATCAATCTTTATTATGGATATGCATTTGATGAGAAAGGAGAGTAATGGTTCCTTAAAAAAGATCCTTATTTTTTTATATTTTATTTCATTATAATAGAAAATTAGTTGGCGAGTTTATAAATTTAAAATATTGAATCGTTTTTAAAGTTTTGACTTCTGTGGATAAAAGTTTTTGATTTGATTCAATTTTTGTTGTTGTGAGATAGTAACTCACTGGAGACAACGGTGGATGTGTTGCTCAATTTTGTGGATTAGTTGAAGTTAGACATTAACATCGTTGGATACCGGCCGGATCAGCGGTTTAGTGGTTAAGCGCTCGTATGTGAGACTGATAGGTCCTGGGCTCGAATCCCGCAGGGGGCGTAATCGTGGATGCGCACTGTCACTGAGGAGTCCCACAATAGGATGGAATGGCCATCCAATGCTTCACGGTTTTCCATGGTGGTCTAGTTTCAATCGACTCATGATATCAGCCATTAAAATAATACAGTTGAATATTGAACAACTGTGGACACTACAGAATCATAATTACTGTTTGATGTATGTTATGAACTAAAAATAAATGTTGGTAAGCTACCTAATCACTGCAAAGGTGCGGTGTGAGCCACTTATATTGACACAAGTAGTATGTAACGATAATCAGGTATAGAATGTATTTCAAAAGAAGATTGAAAAGAAAAGAACGAAAGCGGAAAGCAATTAGTATGAGAATGCAAGAACAATGAATTCTGAGACGATCGACTGATATTTGAAAAAGGAACAGTTAAGTTGGTGACAGTTGATCGATTTTTTGCAAATTAAGTAGTCACTGTTTGGATCTTAGATTTTAGTAAGATGTTCTGTAATTATATGTACAATTACAATCTATTGGGTTATTGTTTCTTTTTAAGACTATATTTAGTGGAGGCAATCGAATACATTTGAATACAAGATTACAGAATATTATAGTAAAATTAGAGAATCATTTTTGCTTGATCTTAACTTTCTGTCTCTAGGCATTTTACTTTCGATTTATGATACATACTACTTATATCTGTCCACATCAATAGTAGACACCACAGTAGCATAATTGTTTGTTCAATCTACTCTTTTAATATCTACTGTTATGATTGTATGATATAAAATTTATAGTACACTATGATGTAGCTAGCGTAATACCTAAATGTTCTGGAGTCTATTTTAGGTGAGGTGGGAGATGCCTACATAAAATGATACCCATATTATGAGGGAATAAATATTATTTACAGTTTGTTTTACAGTTGTTGTTAAGACGAAATTCAGTCCTTAGTTTAAACTGTCAATCGATTGTACGTTCTCCATACGAGTATTAATGTAACGAATTAATATTTAGTTAAAATTTCGAATGAACTAATCATATTTGTTTCCATGTAACTGTGAAGAGATACAAGCTTACTTACTTACTTACGCCTGTTACTCCCAATGGAGCATAGGCCAACGACCAGCATTCTCCAACCCACTCTGTCCTGGGCCTTCTTTTCTAGTTCCATCCAATTCTTGTTCATTTTTCTCATGTCTATCTCCATTTCTCGGCGTAATATG